TGTGTGTGTGTGTGTGTGTGTGTGTGTGTTGATCCGGATGGTTACTAATTCCTTTTCTTTATGGCGGTCATTTTTGACCGGGAACACCATGGGTGTTACAAAGTTGACTAGATCATCCAAAATTCAATGAAAGTGCTGATCAGCAATTGTATATTTTCAAATGTCGACTATGAAGGATATCATAAAGCCTTAATTCAATCGAATGTAAAGCAAAAAAGTTATGATTGATGAAAGTAATACATCGGTCAGATTTGACCCGAACACAACAGGAGGGTTATATGAACTTCAGTTCATCCTTTTCTTCTCTTTTCTTTGCTAAGGTTGTTGTATCACATTGCATCACTCCAGGGCTCTCTTGGCTGAAAAAGGTTGAAATGTTTCAGCACCATGGAGAGAGACAGAGATGGAAATTGAAGCTTTAACTGAACTACTCCCTCTTTCACTTATCACTAAATAATATACGGTATAATCAATACAATGCGCTTATGAATCTTTACGTTGCTCTATAACGGACAGGTGTAGAAATGTAAAACTGTGTTTTTCAAATATCTCTGAGTCAAAGCATCATAGAAGGATCTTTTGAGAAATTGTCAGTATTTTCACATTTCTTTCAACACTATTCACACACAAGACCTTCTTTCTTAAAAGACAAACTATAATAAAAAAAGGAAAACAACAATTTCTGGGAATAGGCAGACAACAAGAAGAAATAGATAAATAAACACTGTCCAATCACCCAAAACTATTTTAGTTACTCCTTTATCAGTTATCATTAACTTCAGAAGGAAGGAAATGTTCATATAAGTCAGTATTGGACATTTGTTGTGAATTGCAAGCTGCCACATTTTTTAGTTATACATAGATTCATCAGAAAAACAAGAGAATGAGGTAGAAAGAAAAATGTTGTCCGGTTTCAAACGTCTACATGCTGCCTTTCAATAGATGGCAGTGTGACCCACATTTTCAAAGGGAAGCGTTGTGTCTTCAAAAGCGTATGAGTGTAAGTTTGCAACCTGCAACTCCTGTGATTTAAATTGTTTGACAGCTTACCTATTTATCTATTTCTTCTATCAGGAGAAGGCTGCTGAGTGTGCAGTTTTCTGATCAATCTTGCAAGACAAACACACAAGAGAGCATCCTGTACTGTATACTGCAGCCTACAGGGATTCCTGTAAAGCAAATGTGTGATAAGAGCATCTCTTCCCCTGTCCGACATCCTTTCTGATCATCTGGGGACATGCATCAGCTATCATGCCGTTGGAAAGGCTTTTCCCCACTCCTCAGGACACAGACTCTCCTGTTTCTCTGAAATGTTAGACTATACAGAAGGAATCACCAGAGCTCATTGT